GAGGGAGAGAAAGAGAGGGAGAAGGAGAGATGAGAGAGAGGGAGGAGGGAGGGAGGGAAAAGGGAGAAAGAGGGAGAAAGGGGGAGAGAGGGAGGAAGAAAGAGAGAGAGAAAGAGAGAAAGAGGGAGAAGAAAGAAAAAGGGAGAAAGAAAGAGAGGGAGAAAGAGAGAGAAAGGGACAAAGAGATGAAAGAGAAAGAGGGAGAAAGGGAGAGAGACAGAGACAGAGAGGGAGAGAGAGATGAGATGAGATGAGATGTTGCTTCTTATGGGAAAGGGGAGTTATCTAAACAAGAGCCCCCTCCTCACTTTACCCCACCTGAAAGGGGAGGATCTTTTTTTGTTGTTGTTTTTGTTGTTTATTTGAATAAAATGAAATCCACTATTTGTACCCAGTGTGGCTGTCCTTTATTTCCTGCTTTTTCAACCTCGGCTGCTTTGCGCAGCACAGCTGAGGTTGAAAAAGCAGGAAAGAAGAGGATTTTCAAATGCTGTGCACATGCGTGCAACGCTTGTCAGCTGTCCGGGTGGCAGAGCTGATGATTTCTTTCAAATGCTGTGCATGTGCGCATGGCCAAGTGCGTTCACCGAACCATTTGTAACACTGGTTGGATCCCACCCCTGTGTGTTGGCACTTCACAATAAATAAGTGGGTTTTGTGTTGCAGTTTGGGCACTCGGTGCCGAAAAGGTTTGCCATCAATGACCTAGGGCAATCACTCTTTCACCTTTAAGAAGCAAGAAATGGTAAAGCACCCCCAAAATCTTGCCAAGAAAACTGCAAGCAGCCACCCAGGGTCAACACTGACTTAAAGTCCCCCCACCCTCAAAAATAGAGCAAAGGGAATCAACATCCCCATAGTTAGCTTCTGCTTTTGTGGTCACGCTGTGAAGTGGAACACCATGAGAGACAAGTCACCATGGAGTTAGTTTCCTCATTTGGATTCCCATTAATAATTATTACCAATAGAGCCAAGATAGATTATCACACAACTATTCAAATTCATGTTTCCTAAATAGGGAGATTACTGACGGGGGACATGAAAGGACAATGCTGGATTTTAAAATTATTATTATACATCAGAGGAGAGATCTCTGGATTCAGACTATTCAGTTTAGTAGCAGCCCACTAATGGAATAGAAAAGATACCAAAATAAACATATATAAATACTGTGAACTGCAACCATCACATCTCAAAAATGCTGCTCCATTGATGGGATTTAACAAAATGTTGTTCACAAACATTTGCAAAACTTTTATTTTCAAAGGATGGAAATAGTTTGGGATGAGCTTGTCCCGCCTAATTTGGAAAAGGCCAAAAAAGTATAATACAAAGTGCTCACTGTCTTTGCCTGATGCAGGGTCCTTCCTTTCATTCCCATGCAGCAATAATAATCTAAAATGGTTTTATTAGATCAACTATGACAGATTTTTTTAAAAGAAGAAATCTAAGCTAATAAAAACATTTGTAGATTTGCAGTCTCTTGATATTCCTTCAGTTAGAGAGTTAATTCCTTTAACAAATATAATTCACACACTAAAATGCTTTTGCCTTTCAGACATTTTAAATATCTCTTGAAGTATTTATTATATTTCAAATACAAATAAAAATTGATCCCATATTTACTATTTTAATTTTATGTAAGCTAAAGGCATTAGATCCGAATACTATCAAACGTCCTATTGTATGCAGATTAGAAAAGTAAACACAGTTTCCCTCAGCTACTTAAATCCACAACTGAGTCAATATTATTGGGGGGGGGGGGAAACTCACCCACAACATCAAAGAAACTTTAAAGAGCTCTATCGCCCTCTAGTGAGCCAATGCAATGAATTTAGGTCAAGGAGTATTGAAACAAATATTATTAGTAAACCCATGTGTTTTAGAATTTAAAGCCTAGAATTAATCTTAATTACAAAAAGGTAAAGGTATTTAAGAACATATGAAAACAAGCTGTGTATGATCGATAAAAGCAAGAATTAAATCAAAGAATTTATTTTCAAAGAGAATCATCTCTTTATTTCCAAAAAGCAACATACTTTTACAAAAAGCTTTCTACAGTACAATTGTGTTCCAGTTAGCCTTTTTATAATTTAAGCTGCAAATTAACACTAATATTTGCAAACAAAATGCTTGCCGTAAGTGACACCTTGGGGGAGGGGAAGATCCGCCAATGCTGATAAATCCATTTATTTAGCATGTTTATACTTTACTTTTCAATAAAAAGTAGCTCAGCATTTCTAAAAATTGGTATTTGCAGACTTCCTTTAAAGAAGTCAATATGTGAGTGCAATATGAAGCACTTCCATTTGCTTATCATCAGAATCTGTGTCAATAAGGCATAGATGAGCTTAGCAAAGCCGCAGCCAATAATATAAAGACCATATTTTGGTTCAAGAATGTATAATGGAGAATTCTGCTTTAGGGTTTTTTCTTCTTTGAAGCCCAAAATTGCTATCACTATCCATTTATCTTAAGATTTTGACTGAAGATATTCCCATACCATAAGTTAGTAAAAAAAAAAAAATCTTTTCCCCTGAATACAATGTCTCCATTTGCACAATTTCTCTACTACCTCAGCCTTTTGATTCTGGAAATATAAATCAATATCAATATCAATATAAGCTATCCCAAAATCAAATTATGTATTTAATCAATCACAATAACAAATAAAGCTATCTACTTCACTATTAGACCTTGAATCAGAAGCTTAGGATATGTGTTGTTGGTGTGTTTGATTTCTTTCTATATGTGTCATTAATCTTTAGTACAATGCATCATGCCATTGGTTATCAGATTCTTAGCCCACAGATGTTTTTGAATCCACGTATGTTTTAGGTGTTCAAGTTACAATGGTAGCTACATATATGTATAATTTCTTCCAACCTATGAGGAAAAACCCTTGAGGCTACAATATAGTAAGAAGGCACATGTAGAGCTGTTCTTTGTAACTTCCAATAAGCTTCATAACACAATTGTTCATTTCTCCAGATAGTATAGGGAACATTATGCCATTGATCCATTACTGACACAAGTTTCTCTCTGCCATAATCTAAAATGCTTTCACTTACAAGCTTTTAAAAATTTGGACTATATGTAACACTTTGATACTGATTCACTCCTAGATTCTTCCATTATCTTTAAGATCAACTACAGGCACGCCATTATTATAATAGAAGGATTCTTGATTTAGCTGTTTGCCAAGTTCAAATAGGTAAATATGGAACAGGTGTTCTTGAGGATTCTTCTACATCAGCTAATTCTACTGACTGCCAGGAGTTTGATTGTGACTGGTTCAAAGTTGACTCATCCTTCCGAGGTCAGTAAAATAAGGACCCAGATTGTTGGGGGCAATATGCTGACTCTGTAAACTGCTTGGAGAGGCCTGTAAAGCACTAGGATGTGGTATATAAGTCTAAATGCTATTGCTATATCCGCATATTTTTTTTTGCATAAACATCCATCGAAGTTTAAATCAAATTGCTTTCCTAAAGCACTGAATTCTCAACTCAACACTCAATAGTTAGGGCAGAACAGGTACAAAATAACTTCATTCTTTTATATAATTTTAGTAATACCTTGACAGTTGTTTCCTGGTCTTAAAAAAGAGGGGACGAAATTTACAATTACAAGATTAATTGTGGGCACTTTCATACATCACTGTTTCATACATCCTTAATCTGTCATAAAATCTGAAGCTGACCCACAATGATCCTCAATTCTGCTGACCTCATATCACCCAAAACACAAAAGGGAATATGATGAACACTCACATGATAATATGTGCAAATAAATGATATTCTACTCACAACCCTGGAGTAACAAAAGTATCTTTATCTCTATTCTACACAAAAGGCAAATCAATTCCTAGCAGTATATATGGTTTCCATTATATATTTGTCTAATAGTTTTTTTTAAAAAAGTTAGCAGAGAGGAAAGGGAAGTTTTAAAATTGTCGTCATGATTCCATTGTATTTAAAAACTCCAAAGAATTATGAAAGTAAAATAAAACACCAGTATGTCAGCAATTTCCTTAATAAATATAATCAAAGTTGTAACACCATATGCTGGCATCACAAGCAAGCGTGGGTATAAATTCCTCAATACAGTTTTGCATGTTGCTAAGGTGGCAAAACAATGGATAACAGACCAGTTTCAGGAACAAGACACTGAATCTTAGTTCCATCAATCAGAAAAAAAACCACACAAAATTGTGCAAAGAAACACTTTAAAAGAAAACACCACCTTTGATATAATTTCCAATGAACCAGAAATAAATCAACTTAGCTTCCCAAAACGAACCAACATTAAAAGATTAGACCAAAATAGTGTAAATCTTTTGTTCAGAAGTATCCTTATCAGTCTATATTTCAATGGCATATTTAAATTTACATCTTGCTTCTAATATCTGAAGTACAGTGGAACCTTGGGTCGCGACCGTAATCCATTCCAGGACTACGGTTGCAACTCGATTTGATCGTGACCAGAAGCACGACCATCTGTGCATGCGCAGACAAAAAAAAGTGCCGAAGGGGAAATTTTGCCACGGCAATTTTCAGATTTGCTTGGTCGCCACCCGAAGATCTGTTCACGATCAGAAGCAAAAATTCTGGTCGTGACCCGATTTGGTTGTGAACATAACCTTTTGTGACCCGAGGTTCCACTGTATAAAGGCTGACTTAGTGTTGCCCACAACTGCCTGTAGCTGTTGGCACACACCTATGCTGAGAAGGGGTTGGTGGGTAAGCATAGGTTGCAGATGGCACAGACAGGCTGATGCAAACACCTCCCAAAGCCCAACTGTACGTTGTGCAGAGAGTGCCCCTTGTCCAGAATGTTAAAGTTCACAGACCTATGAAAGCAACAACTACACAACCGTCTATGAAAAACAGACACATATTTTCCCTCAGGTGTAGTGCTTGATCCTTAATTCATTCATTATCTCCAAAGCTGCTAGAACACAACTGAAAAAAACAATGTGACAAAACAAGAGCTCTTACCTTTGAATCTTCACTGCTGACTCCAAGTTCTAATACAGCTTGAGGAGATTTTTGTTTTGCCTGCATGGATTGAGCCATCTGAAGGTTAAGTTGCCATCCAACTGTCTCAAGCTACAAAACACATATCATATTGATTACTAATGTGGTAAGTGAAGTATGGCAATATTTTGTTTTTCAACACTGCTTAGGAACAATTGTCAGCCAATGAGAGTGAAAGAAAAAGAATTCTACCATCTTTCTTCTCTTTTCTATAACCGTCTGCCAGGCTTACTTTTACAATCAGGTTAAAGAACAAATATTACTTATGGTTGTGTTAACAAACCCAGAATGAAGTGAATTACAATTATCATTGTTATTAAAACCCACAAACCACAAATATTTCTTAAAATCCCAGTTACCATAGATATTAACTCCCAAGGCCATAAAATAAGTGACTAGAGTGAAGCTGTTGTTGAGTAAAGATCTTATTAAATCAGTGGATTTTGTTCCTTAACAGTGCTCCTTACTGATTTGTGACAGTAATAAATAAATAGAAGGGACCCTGATTTCTTAGCCCTAAAACAGAGTTGGATCTTTATATTATGCAGATCATATTGAAATATTTTTATAAATATTTTTAGAAGCTAACATCTCAAAAACGTTCATCATTACTATGATCTGAATCTCTTCTTTTGATAAACTGAATTCCTAAGGCAATTAAAAGAATGCACAATTTACAACATATAGGAAAGAAATACATGTTATAAACTAATGCTAAAACCAACAGCAGTGGAAAGCCTAGTGAAAGAAATGCATATGGGTAGAGTGTTTATTTGTGAACAAATGTATATAGAAAAGTAAGATCATCTTGAAATTATTTTTTCGTCATACTTTTCAATGTTTAAGAAAGAACTGCATGTTACTGTACCAATAAAACATGCAGAACAGATACTCGACTTACAATCATTCATTTAGCGACAGCTTGAAGTTACAACAGCACTGAAAAATTGGTCTTCACACAACTATAACAGCATCCCCATGGTCATGTGTTCAAAGTTTGGGCACTTGGCAACTGGAATGTATTTATGACAGTTGCAGTATCCCATGTCAGGCTTCCAAGTAATAGATCCATTGCAAGCAAAATTCCAAGGCCGGTAGATTCCTCAAAGAATAGTATTGGAAATATCATATTGGCACATATCTAGTGAAAACCAACTCTGAAAGGTCCCATGGTTTTCACCTAATTAAAAGTAAAAGTTTTCCCCCCAATTCCAAACAATCAGTCACACGGCCCAATCAAGGCAACGTCCGCTGGTCAAGTGACATCCTTCCTCTGTCCAGGTGTGAGAACGTTCTTGGTTCCCAAGAAAAAGTATTCTGTTTTGACTACACAGCCCCTACTATCTCTAATCCTCCCTCCCTATCCCCTCAGTTCCAGTGTGGTAGCACTGAAGCTCCAAAATGACTTCAGCCAGGCCAGCTTTAGGGTTGATATCCCAGTTATCTGGTCGCTATTTGAGATCTTCAAAACTGACCTCTGACAAGCAAAGGCAATGGGGAAAACCAGCTTCACATAACAACCATGTGATTCACTTAACTGCATTGATTCACTTAAAAACCATGGTAAAAAGATCATAAAGTCAGGCATGACTCATTTAAAACCACCTTGTTTAGCAATGGAAATTTTGGACCCAATATGATTTTAAGTGGAGGACTACCTGTATAAAATAGCTGAATTCTTTCAATATGCAACAAATTTATGTTCAATGCTTTGAACTTACATAGACATTCCTACAGAAAAATTAAATGAGTGGAAATCCAGGCAGTCATGAAACTAACCAGAACCCTGTTTCATTCAGCTCAGAATTATCTACATAGTACTCAATGGCAGGAAGTTTTAAGGTTTTAAAAGTGGGACTTTCTCAATCTTATCAAGAGATAGTACTTAATTTGCAATCCTAGATGCTAAACATTCAACTTTATCACTTCATGATGCAAACCAAATGCTATAGACATACATATAATCTGTCCCTTCATTTTAATCCATAGCTAAATAGATACTGATGGCAGACAGCATATAATTTGTACAAGCTAAAATATATTACTTTGCTTATAACTATACTGGAACATAACTTTCTAATCCATGTCATGCTGAAAGAGTTTGCTATTAAGAAATATTTCCCTCACAGCTGAATATTCTTTGATAGATTATTTCATCACTTTTTTTAGCTGAGAACACAAAATACAACATTTACGTTTAATTCATACTGAACTGTAAAAGTACTGGAACAATTACATAACTGATTAAGCAGTCAAAGGAAAGGCAGAAAACCTTTTCATAAATTTAATAGTCTTGCTTTTTAATGCTTGCTTCCCAGCCACCCCAACCTCCCGCACCTGGGTTTGGAACTAAGTTATGCTTTTAGAATCCTTGATTAATGAACCCTATGCAGCCTGAATGCGTTATCTATTTATTTTACTGAAAGGAAAATTGAATATAATAGACCAATTCAGACCACTTAAGATATATGATATATGGCCACAGTAATAATCGGACAAGGGATAGAAGTAGAAAGACATGCAAAGAATTAAGCCTTCCAAATAAGAAGTGTTTTCTTAGAAAACAATCATATATTGACATATATAGTAGCTACGTATCAGAATCAAGTTTGAAGATTAAGTTTTTTTAGAAATGTATTATTTCCCCTTCTAAGTATAATTACAAAACATCAATTGCTTTCCAGAAATGAGTACTTAATAATATAAAATGGAAGAGTGAAGTAGGCAGAGTTTAACTTTAAGAATTATATGTTCTTCCTCCTTTAAAGAATCTGCATACTGCACCACTGGGTAAAAATAGTAGTGTGCGTATGTCTTTGTTCAGTTATTTGTTTTCTTAAAATCTAAGTGGTGCGCTAATGCATAAAGTATTAGACCATAAAATGTACTTGACCCAGAATCCTTTGAAAGTATGCAGGTACTGTATGTATGTATGTATGTATGTATGTATGTATGTATGTATGTACAACACTCCACAAGAAATGAGAATGTAGCATAGAACCTTAGTATCTAGGGATAATGAAACATATTGTTACTTATAAACTTGTGGATAGTCATAAAAATAAATGATAGCAAAACAAACATCACTTTTCCCAAGCCATAACATTTTAATTGTTCTAGTATTTCTTATATTTAGCAAAGAATGACTTGCTTCTACCAAAAACAAATTAAGCAGTATAGTACAACAGGATGAGCTATGAATCAGGAAGTTCAAATCTTGCCTCTCTGAAAAACTTTCTATAAGACTTTAAGGAAACTTGCTACTTTCAGGATCATCTTACAGAAGAGCTGTGTTAAACTAATGCAGATCATATTCAACTCCAATTTTAAAATAATAAAAAATCAGCTTTAAAGCTGTTAAAATATAATCTTTTTTTTAAAGCTGTAGAATCTATGTTTTCTGAATTATTTTTCTGGACCAAATGATTTAATGACATTATTGGCAAGATTAGACTCTTTTGGAAATGATACATTACATGCAGCTTGTGCAACCAAACGTGCAACTAAAAAAACCTGATAATTGTTTACTGTTTTGCAGTAATATATGCAGTATGTTGTTTATTCAATATGCCATAAAAGAAATAAATAATATGCATTAGTCTAATAGCAAGTACACTTCTCATAACAATTCATGCCTTGAAGAAAACTCAGAACTAAATCAAGACAAATGCAGATGGGAAACAGATAATATTAAAAAATAATTGTGGCAAGGATAATGATAAAAAAATTTTTAAGGCAGGCTCACATACAAAAAAAGAAAAAAATAACCCACCAGCAGAACAAACCACTCCCCAAAATCTATGGTGCTGATAAAATTCATCAAGCAACTACTTTAACTTACTGGAGGCCCAATCTTACTATTCAAGCCTTACACTCTTCTTAGCTTGGCCTACATAAGTAGTCATTGGGTTATGACCGTAATTGGGATCAGAATTTTAAGCAAGCAGTTGTTAAGCAAAACATTATGTGACTGCCACTTAGTCATGGCAGTCCCAGCAACCCAGGTTGCAGTTGTTAGGCCAAGACCACATGGTCATTGGGTTAGGGACCTACGTTTTTCCTGCCCCCACTCTCTCCCTTCAACTCTCTCTTCAAGTCACCCCACCTGCCTATCTCACATTTCTGCTGTTTTGGCCGGGTTCAATCACCTAACCCTGCTGGCCCCACCGCAGATCCCTGACTGAAAGTCATCTTCTTCCTTCCGCTGTTTGGTCAGGATTCAGGCAATCATCAAGGGACTAGCCCTGCAATGTGTGTGGCAAGTACTACAGAACCCCAGTTGCTGAACAGGTGAAGGCTTTGTAGAAGAATGGCTGGGTCAAGTGAACAGATAGCCTCTGGATGGCGCTCTATCCTTTGCTGAACCCCCTTTGCTCTGGATAGCCTCTGTTGGCGCTCCATCCTTTGCTGAACAGCCCCCTCCCCCAGCCAGGTCTCCAGAAGCACTTCCAAAATAAACCACAGAGTGCACACTGCACCTCCAGGAAACCCTTGCCCCTCCACTTTGTCCAATTCTGCCATCAGCCTCTTGGAAAACACCAGACAGCATGATGAGCATGCTATGCCTCAACATCCCATTGTGCTCTCCACGGCCTATGGGCTAATGCTTCTGGAATGCAGGGTGCCAAAAAGTCAAAGGTGAGGGAAAGATAGGTGAGTAAGGGGAGTTTAAGTAGAGGCAGTTTACACAGGGCAGGAGAACGTGGTTATGGCACGCTGTGACTGGTCATGAATAATGAGGTCTGGTCAACAAGCAACCAAATCATGTGATTATGGAGATGCTGCAATGGCCAGAACATCAAAGACCGGTTATGGTAGTCATTCAGCCCCATCATAGTTTCAAACAGTCACTGAACATATGAGAGTAATCTGAGGGATTCTATAAAATTAGAAGTACTGGATGTCTTCAAAGCTTGAAATCATCTACAAATTGCTCCAACTCGAAGCCACATGATTACATTTGATATCTCAAATCAGTTTAAGGGAATACTTTGATTGAATTATTCCTTTGAAGCTCCATGAAGCCCTAAAAGACAATAACCATGAAACATTACAGCATATCTATTTAAGGCTGGTTTAGCTCCTGAAAGATCACATTGCCAGGGAAGAATGGGGTGAGAACGAAAAATCAGACCAGTAATGTTCAGACTCCAGTAAACATCCTGCCTTCTCAAGAAAAAGATGCCTCCAAAAAGAAATGTTACATTATATCTGTATAATTTCTAAAAAAAACATAAAATACTTAGTTTATTAAATAAATAAATCTTCAATAAGTATGAATAACTCTTATGTATCTAAATTAAAACATTAATGTACTGAGCACTGTTTATTGTTATACTAACTTCCACAGAAAAAGCCTACTGGCATTTCCTTTTTTGGTGGAAGATTCACTCTCAGATAATTAATTTACTACTTCTCTGCTAAGTTTACTATTTATCTATGCTTTTCTTTATGTCTATGAGAGATTGTCAATCATCTTGGTCCTGGTTGTCTCAAGAGTACTTTTCAAAAGGCAACTAGACTTTGTTTTTTTCCTTGAAAAATCTTTCACTTCCCATCCAAGAAGGTTCTTCAGTTCTATTCTTTTTTTATATTTCCCAGAAGAATCAAGACAGGATGGTTTGTGATACAGTATTTAAAACTTTTACTATGTTAAACAGAAAGCAGTTCAATAAATGCAGCCTCATATTTGGAAGGTGAAATAATATATCAGTCATATATTTTATGCTAGCACTAAAAAGTTCTGCATTTTATCTGAGCAAGCACAACTTTTTTCCAGTCAGAATTGGTGGTGTCAAAAAAAATGAAATTATTCCAACCATTGGACCATACAGTATATCTATAGCTCACTTCATGACCACAATGGAACTGGTAATATTATCATAAAGCGAAAATCATGTATTACAACAGTCTTATATCACTTCCTATTTGGTCATTAAGCGACTTGCAATTTTACTTTGGTCATAAAGCTGGGATATTTTAACCTTGTTATTTTGAACAGTCACTAAAGTAGGCACTCGGTAAGCAAGAGCTAACTGGAACTCCTATGAGAAGTCTTAACACCTAGTTGCTTATATATAAATCCAGCAAGAGGGAAGGGGAAAACATGCCATAATTACGATTTTTAAAATCAACAGAATTCAAAATATTACATATTTACTTCAGAGATTTTTATACAGTGTGATGAGAAGATTCTTACCAGTAGAGAAAAAGGAAATTATAAATATATCTTTTGAAACGAATAAATAATTTGCTTTGGAAAAGGGCTTCCTAATGCAGTACTTTACAACACTGAAGTGAAACAATCACCATCAAAAGTTGTTTATGGCACAATAATAAAAGTTTCTTGAATTACACTTTCATATAATACACTATGAGTCAGCCCATTCTAGTCCTATGTGATGTCACTCCTGCACTTAAAGAAAATGGTAAAAAACAACTTTACTTGTTAGATCTTGGCTCATATCAGGAGCTATTTCTAGTAGTTCTGACACTCCTGACATTAACAGTGCTCTAATTAAGGTGCTAATATGAAGATTGATGTCCAGGATTTCATCCAATTAATTTCAAAGCAACTATTAACATGACTTTCAAAATTCTCTCTGCTTGACAGAAATATTTTAAATGTTATACATTGCAGCCACAAACATTTGATGTCAATTACTAACAGAACCCCACTACCCATCCCTCTCCAAAGATACAAACTGCAAGAATGCTCAATGCTCAAGTTACCATGTAAGAAAAAGCAAAGCTCCAGGATCCTTAATATATTGTATGACTGATTCATTCACAGTATCTTCCAATCTAGAAAAAGATATTAGCAGAAGCTATGCAATTGTTCTTCTTTGCAGCAATCTTTCCACACAATTTTCTATAGCTAGGTTTCCAGCCATACCTTTATTACCTCTTCACACTTCATGCTTCATGTTTTTACCTGTCAGTTACTAAGCATATATCCTTTTGATCAGTGTTTTTCAAACCTGACAATTTTAAGATGTGTGAACTTCAATTCCCATAATTCTCCAGCAACTATGTGGGAGACCATACATCTTAAAGTTGCCAAGTTTGAAAAGCACTGCTGTACATATTTTAGACACTTCCACCTCCAAAAACCTCAGCCAGTGTGTGCCTCATGGGAGCACAGGTCTAACAAATATGGAGAACACCAAAATACAGAAGAATACAGTATACAAACTTTCATTACATAGAAAGACAATGATTAAGCACCTTCCATTTTGCTCACATCTTCCCAACTCAGTTCATTTACCATCTAAAAGAAGCAGTTTCTTTTAGAATGTAAGTTTTTTAACTCTGTACATTCTAATTTCTGTCACCTCTTTAACATATTCTTCTCATGTGCACTTTTTAATTACACATTTTAAAAAAACTGTAAATCTTCAAATAGTGACAACCAATTAAAATAAGACAAGGCACAATGGAGAATAAGGTCCTCAGCAATAAAAGAGAAACCATTCACCAGTTCATACTGCACAGCATGCCTCACTCTAATTGTATATCTCACTTCCACTTTTAAAGGACATAATGGTTCACCAGGGTGCATTCAAATTTACTTTTTCATATCAGGAAAGCTGATTTTTCATTATATATGGTCCAAACTTTGATTTAAACAAATTTTGGGAAACTTTTAGGCCCTGTTTCAAACCACAGTTTGTCTTAAACTATGATCATGCATGTCAGGCCAATAGAAAAACTAAGCTAAATAATGATTTAGCATTACATCTTAATCATTCCAGAGTTTGTGAAGTATCTCCTCTGTGAGATGTTCAACCAATAATTAAACTATTTAAAACAATATGCAAAAACCACCCCTTTACAGAAATTGTTTCAGTGTCTTACTTGATTAATATAAGGTTTTGTTTATATTAGGAGAGAATTTTATTCAATAGAAAAATCTGCTATAAATAAAATAAGGAAACCTTCTAATATCATAAATATGGCACAATTATTTCTTTTAAGCATAATATTAAACATAACATAGATATTTTTATATTGCTTGGCTCTTACTAATAAAATAGAGGGTTTTTTTCAAGAGAAATTTTGGTACATATAGTTATTGCTGGAAATGATACTCATTTGCTACAACTCTGACCAATCTTGTCTGTGCTTAGAAAAAAACACTATCTATTTTCCTGATTATTTAATGTATTGCACAAATTTCAATCATAATTTACCTTATGTGGTGATAAAATTCTTTGTCTAAACTTTTCCACAAATTCTGGACCTGCAACTGCCCATGTGGTAACAAATACTTCTATTTTATCATGATTCAAGTTAGAATGCTGCAGCTGCTGTTGTAAAATAGTGTGTTTCAAATTGTGATAAATGGCCTGTAAAAAAAAAGATATTCAAAGCATTGTACATACTTCCATAAATATTATTTTAAATGACAATTATGAAGAACCCAGGGAACACTGAACAAGTGTTATCCACTGTGCAAATGTGATCTTGGATTTCTAGTAACAATAGAAGCATAGGACTGAAAAATGGATATTATTCATTAATAAAATGATCATAGAATAATATCCCTGAAACAAAAAGGCTAGTTCTAAAATAAAAGAAAACTGATTCAGTGAGGACAAAATTATTTATATAGCGTATCTAGCAGTCTGGAAATTATTACTAAAATATGACATGTAAAACCAGAGACTATGTGACTTGTACATCTCTTCAAGTAATTCAAAGAAAGAGATTCCAATGCTATTATTTTTCTTTGATTTTTTATTTGCTTGAATCTCAAGTGCTGCATAGATCATGGCTATGATCTATGCTAAGCCATGGATTAAGACACAGCAGTTAAAGGTTTGCTTTACATCTTAAGCTATAAAAAAAATAGTTGAAACAACAGTGATTGGATTCACAGGTCTAATGACCTTTCTCTGTTTCTGGCTTATCATGTTGCATGAATTCAGCTAATCATGGCAAGCCTCACACACACAGAATTATATCAGCAATCTAAGAAACAAGAAGCTTGTATTCTTGCATAGCTATATATTTCAACCATATATCATTATAATATACAGTTCAATCCAAATCGTATTTTCTTAGAAGTTCAATTGTGAGCAATACACTTTATATAATAAATTTTAAGACTGCAGCAATAATTCTTCAATGTATAGTGATGGTCTCTACTTTATTTCCAGGACATTCTTTAAAAAAAAAAAAAAAATTAGTCATTTGAAGCACTATCTTTTAATGTCAAACTTTAAAAAATATTTACAAACATATCAAAATTATAACATTAAAAAGTGGATACCTGTTCCAAAATGAACGTTATGGTTTCAAGTGCAAGATGAAGGTCTTGTTTTTCTATTGAGAATGCAGCTTGAAGTTTTTCTTCTTCTTCTTCTGTGAAAGTACTCTCTGTCTGAAATTTGTAAAAACTCTCCAGTTTAATTTTTTTAAAATAAGGAAATTGTTTAAATGATTGCACCCTGCAACATTCCCTACCTGCTGCTGGAGGTAAATATGAAAAGAATAAAAAGAATCAAATGCAAACTTAAATACAAAGGCAAAGAGTTACCTGAAAATATAAATAAATTTCCTTAGCTAGCAATTTTTCTTGCAAAGTCACCAGGGGGAAAAAGGTGTGTTCTCTAATGTTCATAAATAAATAGTGAGACCCAAGGAGAACAGAATGCTTCACACCAATGTCATTTGTGCTGATTTGACTCTTTGTAGATAAGGAAGCCTCCCAAATTTACCTTCTTTAATGTCTAACTTCCTTGACTAAAATATTGTCTATATTGAATTCTTTATTTATATAAAAGTGTTTCCTGCAGCCCTCTGCCACTTATGATCATGATAGCTAAATACTGGTAAAGTTGCCATTCAGATGTAAAAAACCAAAAATTGCAATATAAAATAAACAAAACACTGCTTCCACACACAAAAATATGCCTTTTCATCCCCCCCCCCCCAAATAATTGTTTTATTATATTAAGAGATGCAAATAATATATCAGGAATACAACTATTAGCTGAATAAACTAAAATTGTTAATATTATGACAATTTAGATAAGGCTTTAAAAAGTTGTACAAGGGATGTTAAATGCAACTCTTGATACCAGAAAAGGAGGATCTCTTTCAGTTTAATTGACGCCAGATAGATTACAGCTATCATTTTTAGTTTTAGAATTATTGTACCATACTATAAACTTGGAATGGCATGTGTTGAAGAAATACCTATCTCCTACAGTATATGCCCAGCCAATTCAATCTGGAAGGGTTAGTGCATTAGTGGGAACCATCAATTAAACAATGCCACCTATCATGACCCTGGAAACATACAGTATATTTTCTGTAACAGCACCTGCCCTCTAGAATGAGATTCCCCCAAGATCCCAACAGCCTCAGCCCTGCTGAGGTTTTGAATGACATGGAAGACCTGACTCTTCACCCAGGCTTTAGAAAAGGATAACCAAAGCCTTCCTTTAATTGTTTTCCTTTGTTCCCATCTGATCTTGTCATTCTGCCATCTTTACTCTTTTTTCTTGTTTTTAATATGTTAAACAGCTTATAAACTGTCCAGTCACTGAAAGTCAGGCAGGATATAATTAAATTATTAGTCTCCCTAATGACTCATAATTACCATTTAATGAGACAGAAGTTGATTTGATGTTTGAACAAGATTTTTATTTTATCCTATTTTAATGAAAAATAGATTAAAAGAATGTCAACCCTACTCTGAAACAGAATTCACTGTTATAATCATTTTACAATCTCATTCCCTTATCAGAGAATCCTTCAGAGATGTAAACTATGCCCAGAATGTATTGGCCCACATGGCTACTTGTAGCATTCTCGCAAATGAAGTTCATATATTTGGAAGCTGCCCAGATAATATTGGGTTGTTTTCACTTTCTATACCAACCTTTATGTGAAGCTTCTGAAGAATGCGGGAGAGAAGGCGGGAGAATCTGCCTGTATCCAGATCATTGATCAAGGTCACAGCTTTTTGAACTCTTAAAAAAAGGAATGAAAATTTAAAAAGCAAGTCACCTACAGGTAGATAACAGCAGATATGTGAATTTATCTCCTTCTCAGCTTTTACCAAGTTGTCAAATAGCAATTCAATATTAAATGAAGTAAATTGATTGCATTTTAAGGCAATCTGAAACCCTCCAGCCAAGCCTCCAGGAAACAGAAGTCAGGTGATTCCAACTTTCCTTATTGGGCTTGCAAAGAAAAAACAAGGGCAATGACTTATTTTATTTTAAAACAAGCACCTTCAGAAGTCTGATGGACATCCACAGAGCCAATTGCTAAGTCAGTGTTTCTCAACCTTAGCAACAGCCGGTAAAATTGAACAGCCCTCTCTCAACAGAGGGGGAGGGATACAACATCCTCTATAGCCAATCTACAACACAATCCTTTCAACAGTTCCAAGAAGGCTCCACACCTATTTGCAATACTCAGGTGACCCTGATGCCAGATAAACCTCCAGGTGGCCTTAACTTTCTAAACGCAAATGCAAAGAATGCAAATGACCAGCTGTATGCAAGGAGTGTAAATTTTTCCATTTCCCACCATCCAGTCAGAGTTGAAGAAGCTTCTTGGATGAGAAGTGAAATGTCTTCAAAGAAAAAGTCCAGTTCCCTCTTGGGAAAAAATGCACCTTTGGGGCAATCATGATTGAGAATCGCCATAGACATTTAAACCTTAGCAACTGTAAAGCTCTGCAGGCTTCGCGTCCCACAATTCCGGAATTTAAGGTCCACACATTTCAAAGTTTTAAGAGCTAAAAAATACTGCGCTCAGAAAATATGATAAGGCCAGGAAGCCCCTTCTTAGACAGTCAGAAATGATTTTGCATGGGTTCCTTATTCCCCCTTTGCAGCCTCCGCCGCTGCAGCATTTTTTTCTTTGCTCCTTAGACCAAGCGTTAACATTGAAAGAAAAGCTCGCCTCCTCCCCCGTCTACATTTTAGTCTGCATCACTTATTGGCATTATTTTTAAAGTGCGTCTCCTATCCAAACGCAGCCGAGATGGTATTAACCCGCAGCTCCTTTTATGCAAGAGAGGAAAACACCAGAACGGTATCCACCTTACCTTTCTGTATTCGGGATAACCATAGGTGCCGCCATTTTGAGCGCCGTCAATCACGCCATCCCCTTTCCCTGGAAAGCCAATCAGCGGCTCAAAAAGCTTGGTCCCGGAAAAGCTAATCCCAGCGGCGCGAGACAGACAAGCTCCGCCTTTCGCCTTCTCCGGGTACTTATCGCCAAGGACCGTATGGTGTGGAGTTGCTGCTGCTGCTGCTGGCGAGTAGCACACGAGCATGCGCGTGGAAGCTCTGGTCTATCGTTCCATAATGATGGGTCATTGCCCAAAAGATTAATGTTTATTCATTTCCGAGGTACGTGACTCGGAACATGACACTTTTTGGGAAGAATATTCACAGCAAAGCAGGACATATTTGGACATCCCCTACAGCGGTGCCACTGTGCAGATTCTCTTTTAGGTGCCTATCTTCAGATGCTGGAGCAGGTCAGAAGCTGCAAAAGATACTTTGATTTTTGCTTCTTGTAAAAAAACAAACAAACCACAAAACCACTTTTTTGTAATTACCAATTGCTAACAAACAGATTGGTTGCATCTTGTCGCTGGACTTTTTGTCAAAAAGGAATGATTAAAGTGCCTTTTACCTTGTATGTGTGTGCTGTAAACAAGATTTTGCAGTTTTGGGCTAAGGCTCAGTAGGCACCGTCCTAGGTGTTCATGCGTCCCTTCTTCAAAAAAAGAAAGTATTCTAAAAATGAAATGTTCACGTTGGCAAGAAGTAATGCCCTCAGATTGGCCTAGAGGCACCATAAACCTTTGAATCACCACTGATTGTGAATCAAGTTTTATTCACTGACTTAATAATGAACTGTACTGTAGTCCAGTACCCTGCACATTAGCATAAAATATGTCATCTACATTTTTGCCCTCATCTTGCCTCTATTGCTTTTTTCTAGACTGCCAAGCACTGACATTTTTCCTAAGAACAAAGCTCTCCTTGACTGAGCTAAAGTGCTGTGCTATATCTTTGAGCCGAAAGAAAATTATGCCAGCATAACATTTTGTTGTTACCGCAACAACAATTGGACATGGGATTTCCAGACACGAAGTTGTAAATGATGCTAATATAAATTTGCAGAGCACTCAAGGAAAGGAATTCGCAATCCAGCATTTTTTTCTCTCCCCAGCTGGCAGGAAACATTCACTAATCACTCTCCTTAATATTGAGTTCTTTGCACAATGGGGAGAAGCAGATTTAGCTACCTGTCAAACTCATGGTTTTGACAAATGCAAGTGTTTTGTAAAAGTATATTTAAAAGGTTTTGGAGACAAGGCTACAGCTGTTCCAGAATACGACTGAAACCATAACCATTCTAACTATCAGCTGGTAGTCAGCCTTCCTTTGTATATACCTCTGCAAAACATTCTGCAAACAGCAAGTTTTGATATTCTGTATAACTCTGCAATTCACAAATATTAATCATGAAAAAGTGATTGCTCAAGCCTTACAGCTTCAAAGACATGAAACTCAAGGGAAAGAGATGGGCAGAAAAAGAGGGAAAAATAGTTCTTGCCAATTTTTCAAAGTGCCTTTAAGATTATAAACTAGGCTCAAAACAGTTCAAAATGTTTATTCTCTTTTCTCTGCCCACCTCTTTCTCTTGAGATCCATATCTTTAATACTGTAAACCTTGGGCAATCTGTTCTTTTTCTTTCACTATTTAGTTGGAGGAAATACTACATTTGCCCAAGAAAAGCATTTAACTCCCCACTGCCACTCTATTTGTGGCTATTCAGTGCTAAATAATTCCAGATAAATTTATCTGATAATTTCAGATTAATGCCAGGTCAGTGTGGAAGTGCTTTAATCTTGAACATGTATATCTAACTCTAACCCCAATTTATCTTAATGGAGTTTATCTTAAGTAGATTTGTTTAGGAGTGTAAAATTGCCCTAGATCAAAGGTGATCAGAGGTTCTCCAGATGTTATTGACTCTAATTTCTGGCAGTTTTAATATTTCCAGTGGTGAGGGTTACGTTGTGGGCTATAGAGAAACAAGTGAGGAAAACAAGTTTCAATCCTGTTTCTTTTTAAAATAAAGAACACTGACCAAATTATTTTGTTCTGTATGTGTTCTTATTAAGGACTATTTACTACAATTCAATTCCCCAGGTAAAAGATAAGATCTCCATCTGAACTCCACTCTGACTTGAAGCAACAGTAACTAGCATGGCCTTTGGTTAGGGATCCTGGGTGTTGTAGCTTGGAAACATTTGGGGGTCATTAGTTCCTCAATGCTGTCATAGAAGATAGTATTTGTTGAATCTGTTTAAATTGTTGAATTGTTTAAATTGATTTTTATATCCATCTTTAAAATATGTTAAAATGGGAATGCACAAAGTGCAATAAAGTAACACTAGCAACAATAGAACTAACATAAAAATAAAGTTTAGTCAATAAATAAAAATGATTCCTATCATAGGAAAATTCCCTTTAGAGGGAGCAATACTTCATCTGATCATTTAGGACAGCTCTCTCCAATATTGGTCATTCTATATATACTCCCGTTATCTTCATGTTCTGTTTTCAATAGTGTTTAGTCATGATGGCTTTGGGCCTTATGAAATCTTAAGTTTTCCAGCTAAGAAAAGCTTTTTTAGGATAACTGCTTTGGTATTTTTCATTGAAAGAAAAGAATCAACCCATGAGTGAGGAAACATAAACATGAGCATCTACCACTATGACTTTCTTGGCCATCTTTTTCATGTTAGCAGGATAACTTTTGCAGCAATTGTTTTTTGTTCCCTGTGGTACAAGAATATAACAGGAATTGTCTTACACAATTGACCAATTCATATAATGTTATAAGGAGAGAAACCAGAAATAGGGGCAGGGCTGATACCAGTATCTTCATTCTCATTCTCTATTCACAGAACAATCCCTGAATTTGCCTATACAATTGTTGGTAGAAAAATCCTTCTGGGTTCAATTCCAAGTGGGGAAAAAGACACTGGAAACATGGAGGCTATTTGGAAAGATAGTTTAATGGTGGACAGCAGGACCACATGGCCTGGAGCTCCAAAGTAAAAAGGGAGGATGATCACATGCTTCAAGGTGAGAAGAGAAGTCAAGAAGGGCTGATATGCGGATAGTGCCTGGGTTTTATAACCTTTGTTGGGATTTGAATTGAAGCTTGTTTCTAATTGGTTGTCAGACTCCCATGGGGCCATGGGGGGGCGGGCAACTCTGTAGGCTGTCCTGAGTTCCAGGCTTGATTGAGCCTTGCTGGATGATGATGCACTGAAAAGGGCTTTTGGCAATTGCTATAGCTTTACTTGGAGATCTTTGTTATGTAAAGTATTCTGGCCCAGGCCTTAATGGCCCACCCATTAACAAAGGTGGGGGGTGAGTTTCTGCTCTTGAGTTTCTACTCTTTTTAGGGGAAATATTCTGCCTTTTTAATATTTCCCAGGATATTTCATTTTTCTAGGAGAAGTGTGGGTGCTAATTTCCTACACTATAAATCTGCTTTTTCTTGGGGCTCTAAACTTCAGCAGGGTAACCTACTCTCCTTTAATCGCATGGAAAAACCTTCACATCTACTAGATTTGAGATGCCCATTGTGTTTATAGGGTCAATATTTTCAAGAACAGCCTCTTTTCTGAACAAATTTTCAAAAAAAGAATGTCAGCTAAAGTACGCATTTTCTCCAGGATTTTCAGAAGGGGATCATGACAAATGACTGAAACCTCTGGATTGAATTCCTAAATAGTGCAAGATCTGATCAAACAGGAAATGCATATGCAACGCCTATTTCTTTTATAACCTTAGTTCCTATCAGGCTGCTAAATAAAAGTTCTAGATATCTGAGCTTTTTGGCTAAGATCAAATATGTAGGTTATTTTGCATAATATCATCCTATTAATATGCCCATTATGGAAGCCATCTCATTTTTATAATTTTTTAAAGTTATTAAAATACTGTATAAAAAGAAGAAAAGGATTGTACTGTACTAACATTCTGTTAAAAATTTAAACTTGTATTTTATTAAAGCCTTCTAAATTCTCAAAAGTGTTTTATAGAAGTACTGCCTTCTTTCTCTTATACTGTATATGTAAAATCGAATGTCAGAAGATGTTTTGTGTTCCATCCCAAAAGACTGAACTAAACAACTAGTAAATAATATTTATATATTTTAAATTCATCCTACAATATTGAAAACAAGAAATAATGGCCCTTTCAGAAAAATGAAAATGGTGTTCTTTAAAAGTATGTATATGTTATGAATAGACAGTGATTTCTCAAGACTGGGAATATCAATTGACTTAACATTAAACACATCGAATCTGTTTGTTTTTTTTAAAAAAAGACAGCCAGCTCATTTTCTGAAAATTCTTTGATTCCAAATTCCTACAATGTAGAAATGGGAATACAGAATGTATTCATTTGAGAACTACAAATTTAAGCAATTCTCTTTGTTACAAACTTATCCAGACTCAAAAAGGTATCTGGACTATATCTTGAAATATTTGTCATGACAGAATTCCAATTTCACCTGATTTTTCAGAAAGGAATTCTTAATCAGATCTCTAGTTTCATTTGGAGATATAGCTTATATTTAATTTATCATTCTTTCTATTTTTTTATTTTACATATTATTTACGAAAGTCTTCAAAGGATGTGATCTATGCATTTTCTAGCATAATTGTGCAAGCAGAGTGTGATAAATATAAAGTATAAAGAGCTTTTCCTTCTTGATTGTTGATGGGTAAGAGTTGTAAACAGTAGGGCAGACTAGACTTATTTCCCGTCAAATAATGAAGTGGGATCATTTGGCATTCTGCCCAGGAAAATCAGAATCTGTCACTGAAACCCAGAATAATGCTTACTAGTCAAAATCTGGTATACAAACTACTGTACTAGACAACATGAAGCCATAGGCCAGCCTGCTGTAATAGTTTATCTTTCTAAAATATTGCAGATATGATATCATGCACTATGCTTTCCATAAATGTATAGGATCACATTGTGATGGTTAGGGTGATGCCACAATGATTATATGTCAATATCACAGTATTTCTGGACATTCAATGTGTCACAGAGACCTAATAAATCATAAAAATCATACAAATTAAGTAATTTGGCTTGGATTAGCGCAAAAGTTTCCCCACTGCAATGATTCCA